TGTTCAACACTTGAGTTACAAATCGACGCATTTGTTTGTTCCTGACTCACTCTCTCTCACTCTCTCTCTCTCTCTCAGCCCGAAAACTACAGTTGGCATTTGCATTTCCCACGTTGCCCCAAAAATAAAAAGTGTTTGTGGCCAAGAGGAAAAAGAAAGAGGAGACTTTTCCGTAATGTCAACGTGAAGTCAACGTCAAAGTTGAGAATGTCAGCTGTGCCACAAAAGATGCAGATACAAAATTTGTAAGTCAAGCCACAGGCTACAGCTAAAGATACAGATACATTTGACTGTTAATTGGAATTTCAATTCACAAGAGAAATGTGAGAAAAGATAAATAGACGAAATTAACACGTACTCAGCTGAAAATGAGCAGGTAGTTGAGCATAAGGGACAGCCACACACACACACACACACACACACACACACACAGCTAAACACATACAGATACAGGTACAGATGCCGAGGCATAACTAGCCAAATAACCCTAATAAATAAGTCAAGTCTCGAGCGAGGCTATAAGTTAATACGAGCATGTTGGCAGTTGGGGCAACAACTACTACAACTAAATGCCACACAGCCCAATGATGTTGCATGCAGCAGGTGGAAGGATAGTCGATAAGACAGAGAACGATAGAGAGTGGGAACCGCTTCAAGATACCCTATAAAAGCAGCAACTACAACAACTGAAAGTCTGACAGATCCAAAATATTGCAAGAGAGTGAGAGAGAGGGGAAAAGAGTGAAAGGGGGAGAGAAAAAATAGCTTGGAAATACCTCTAATAATCCCTATCTTTAAGTATTATTAATTGCAACAGATATTGATGTGAATAATGGAAATACTCAAAGGCTTGGGTCTCTAAAAGTTATTGCTATTAAATTTAATATAAGTAGTATTATAATTATTATTATAGTTATTAATATTATTAGGAACTGCATAAAAGTTGCAGCTCAGGAATAATATCAGCTGCGAGATTAATGTTTCCCAGTTAAGAAACCACATCTGCCTCCATTCACCTGTTACACACTCCACTCGAATATACCCCATGGCCAGGCACCTAATGCTTACAGGGTATACGAAAAAAAGAAAAGTTAATTAAGGTGTTTGTCCGCAATAGGGATAGCCACGACAACAACAACAACAAAGGCAGACCTTATAAATGAGATATTTATCCAGCACTGGACAGACGTGGCTGAGATACACACGGCTAGGAGTAGGGGGTAGGGGAGAGGGAATAGGTGAAGAGGTAGGGGTCGGTGGAAAAGGTAAAGAAAAGGCGAGTGATATGTTCGTTTGGTTTCTGGTTCTGGTTCTGGTTCTGGTTCTGGTTGGGGAACCTGTTTCGGAGTGTTTGCTTTTGAAATGTTTGTCATTATCATCGTTAACTTTTTGATGAGTCGAACGTGTGTGATAAAAGTGTCGCAAGGATTTTGATTGGGAAGGAGGAGGAGGGGGAGCGGGCAACGAGAATGGAAATGGGAAACCAAAGCGCAAAGAAATGACAAAAGAAAAACCTAATAACGCAACGCACACACAGATTGTACAGTGGTCTCTCGAGAACAAGCACTAATTTAACATCCGAATGCAAAGATCCAACAAATAAATAAACAAAATTCTTATTTTGATGTTGGCTGATGTTTTCTATTTATGAATTATTATTTTTACTATCAAAAAAATGTTAGTTAAAAAAATAATAGTGCTTGACAGAAGTAGTTAAAATTAGATAAAGAAAAGTTACAAGTATTTTTCAATTATTATTCTAATTCTTAAATAAAAGTTTTCAAACAAAAACTCATCTTTCGACAGATCTTTTCTCAGACAGCTATATGATATAGTGTTCCGATCCAGCCATACATATACCACCTGTAGCAAAAGGCCGAATATACGATAAGTTTTATAAAGATATCTTTAAAACTTTAAGAATAGTTTTTGTAGAAACAGAATATTAAAAAAAGTATATAATCTAAATGAAATACAATATAATTTTTATAGCCTCTGCAAAGGCATAAAAAAAGTAATTTTATATAGTTTACAATTTATGCCACTAAGATTTGTGGAGACCTCGAGCTTGCCACTTATCGAGCGTTCACTGTAGCTGAGGGGGAGGTCTGAAGTCGGACTTAACTCGCATGTATGTTTCAGATACAAATTGCCATTAGTTTATTGAGCGGCTGGAATTTATGGTTCTTCGTGCTGCATGCGGCATGCGGCAAGCGGCATGCTGCTTTCACTACACTCTCCGCTGCCACATGCCGCATGTGGCATGCTGCGCGTGTGTGTGTGTGTGTGTGTGCGAGTGTCGTGGGCAACCACGCAACAGACGCACGAAAAATGCTCACAAATCTCAGACCCGCTCAGTCACATGTGGCTCCTCTGATGTCCTCTCTCTCCCCCTCCCCCTCCACCTCCTCCAACTCCTTACACCCCCTGCGTCTACCTCAACAGACAGCATTTTTGGCATTTGTGGCACGTACAAAATTCATTTGTTGCACTATTTGATGAAAATGAAATCAAATTAAATTTTCGGCACAAATTCAAAGTGAAATTTCTGTTTGTGCCCACGTACACTGAGCAAAACAATCGTGTATTTTTGTGTGTTTAAATTATTCAATTTAAGAATTTATAATCTCAAATTTCTTCAATTTCTTAAGAATCAAGACTCATTTGTACTAATTAAAACATATTAAAAAAAAGGAGAAAACGAAGCAAAATCCAAAATATAACTTTGACTTAATTGGGACTAGAATAAATATTATTCTATATACATAAATTCCATATTGAATCTGTTTATTCAATATTAAAAATTTGAGTTTATTTGCTTCCTATTTCATTTTCATTATATTTCTCAGTTTTACGAACACATTTTTAATTTGAGATTGTTAAACATATTTTAAGCTAAAAATTTCTTTTCGCGAAGTGCACTAATAAATTTCTCTCAGTGTGTGTGGGCATTTTTCAATGCCAAACATCGAAGCATTTTCCTTGCCTTTTCTCTTATTGTACCCTGGACAAAAGAGAGTATTGAGACGGGTATACTAAAATTGTGCAAAAGTATGCAACAGGCAGCATCGCTATATACATAAGGTATATATATGCTTGATCAGCAACAAAATAGTAGACGATTAAGAAGAGTTCTCCTGTGAGCCTCTATAAATTCGCCGATCTCAGAGACTATAACAGTTGCAGACTTCAAATTTGGCATATACGCTGATGAAGCTCTTATTTAAGGCTATCGATAAATGTATAATCGATGAAAATCGATAGTCACAATTTTAAATATACATTTACTTTTTTTACATGGGTATTTTTAGACCTTGACAGCTCTAAAAATAATAAAAATGTTTATTTAATATTAAATCATATTATGCATGTATTTAGATAGAGGGTATCTCCAAGTCGAGCAGCAGTTTTATTTGTGTTTTTTTTTTGCTGTCCTTGCAATATTTGTGTGTATTTTATTGGTAATATGTTTTCAAGATTGGCATCTGGAAAATGCCAAATTTTGCCTGGCTGCGAATGTGGACAACATTTAACAAAACATTCACAGATACAACAGCAACTAGTAATGGCCACAGCTAAGTGTATCTGTATCTGTATCTATATGTGCATCTGTATCTGTATCTGTATCTATATGTGCATCTGTATCTGTATCTCTAACTGTTTTTGTATCTTTTGACGAGCTGTCTGCAATTCATTTTATTGTTTATCAAATTGCTTTTAATAACATTTGAAATTGCGCATATTTGTGTAGGCTAAAAAATAACGTTGTGGTTTCTGCAGTATTTTTAAGCAATTGTTTATTTTTAAATGTTGAATTTGAATATTGTTTGAGTTGCTCTTCATTTTTATAACGAAGATAAAAAACAGATTATTGAATAAATTGAAAAACTGAAATAAAATTTAAAAATTGGATATAAGAATAAAGACAACAAACTTGTTTTAAGCAAAAACATACTCAAACGAAGAATAGATTCTTAGTTAAAGCCATAAAAAATGATGATAAATTAAAGCCGTTGTTTATTTTTAGCGTAGAACTGGCGACAGCAAAAAACTCGGGATAGAAAAGAAAATAGTCAACTAAAGATATATATATCAATAACTAAATTACGATCTGAGAACAGGATCTACAATCGGTAATCGGTAATCGATTTTTATCGATAAACATGAGTCATGGGCACTTATCACTAAAACTAATTATTAAATAATAAATAATTATAATAATAATAATATAACACAAATAGTTATTTAATTAATTCCATACACATCAAAATTGACCAACAAACACAGTTTTCCAATTGAGTCAATTGATTGTCCAATACTAATCATTATTAAATTACACAAAGTGCGCTAAAAACAATTCTCCAATTGAATTAATCGATGAATTACTCAATTTACCAACACTAATCGCAACTACAACGACAAAATTGAAAAGCATACAAATTGACAACAACAACAGCGAAGGAATTCTCTCTTCGGTTCTCAGTTCACAATTATGCCATAATAATAACTGTAATCAGGCTGTGCTCCTAGTTACAATTTGCCCATAAGCATAACAAGAAACAGAAGAAACAACAGGAACAACAACAAAAACAACTACCGGCATTTGCCCAAAACAAAACAAGTTGCACACACAGGCAGCTCTTATACTACGCGTATAAGTTGTATGAAAACCCAGTATTTGCTGCGCTGTGCGCTTAAGTAAAGAGAGGCCTGCTGCATTAAAGAGCATTACAAATATATATATATAAAATGTAATAGCTAATTTATTGCTATGTAATTTACTTACAGTTACCCATTACTACAATTTTATGAAATGACTCTTAATAAATCTATAATTATTAAAACAGTAAGCCACAAAATCCCATCTCTCTCTTGAAATCACTCTCTCTTAAAAGCGCTCTCTTTTCAGTGTTGCTGGCACCCAACAAGAAAAAAACATTGGTTAAGACACTGCTCTCTGTGGCTGCGCTGCCAGCAGAGCTGCTCACTCGACGCCTGTTCAGTTTTCTCAGAGCAGTTGTCGTGTTCGCACGCGGAGCGCATTGCGTAAAACAAGAGCAAAAAGCAGCAGAGGAAAAAAAAATAAGTTTTCGTTAGTTTCGTGTGTGTTTTTGCGCAATTATTACTGGCAGTAAAATTGGTTAAATGTGGCCAACAAATAACGCCATTTAATGCAAATGTGTGAAAGTGTTGTCTCTAAATAAAAATATTACAACTAAGAAAAACAACAGCCGACTTTGTTTAACGCATTTGTAAAACGTGCGCGATACGGAAAAAAACCACAACAAAAACAACTGCAACAACAATTACCATTTGGAGCAGCTTTCAAAAACGGTAAGCGCAGCACACATACCAATGTAAATTGCACAAAGCGACACATGCACAACATAAATGTAATTTAACATTACACTTTGAACCCGTTGCTTGTTGTTGTTGATGCTCTGTTAGCTTGCCATCTCGCTCTGACCCGCTTGTTGAGATCAGTTGTTCGCCATTAAGCGGTTAATTTGCGCTTTACATTATAACTGTTATGGCAGTGTAACAACTGTTTTTTTGTTACAGTTGCACACACACACAGACTTGTACTCTCTTTCTGTGCATTATTTCCGCCACTTTCTTTAATTGCTCTCTTTAAATCTAACTGCATTTGGCCTTGACGCTTTTTGTCTGCAAGTCAAGCTTAAGCTTTGCATCGAAAGCTCAACCTATCAGCAAAGTCTTTGCGTGTGCGTGCGTGCGTGTGTGTGTCTGTGAGTGTGTTTATTTTTGCGGAACCAGTTTAAAAGAAAGAAATAAAAAAACAAACAGCGTAGCAAGAAGTTTATTTGCTTTGAAAAAAATAAAAAAGCTCAACAGGTTTTTTATGTTTTTTACTCACGTTTGTTTCGCTGTTGTTGTTATTTAGCTGCAAATTTGTGTGGCTGGCTTGACGCTAATTAAATATGCACAATTCCATGGGAGTGTAGAGGATGGGGCGGGGTGCTTTGCACTGAAAATGATAACTAAGGATAAGAAATATACAAAAATTAAAACCCAAATATTAAATAAAAACAAAAATACCAAAATATAGAGTCAAATCACAATTGTTATGCAAATAAATGAACATGACATTAAATGCCCCCAACAAAAGCACATTTAATGAGCGATAAGAACAAGAGAGAGTTCACACTGAGTTTATCAAGCCTAGCTGAGCCAAGAATTTATACAGTGTGTGCAGCAAGTATTTTGACTAAGTAAAAACAATGCATTCAAATTCAAATTTGCTAACGTTTTGTCATTTTCTTTTTTTCTAATTGAAAATAAATAGTAAGATTTATGGATTTCATTAAAAAAAAGAACAAAATAATATCTTTGAAACAAAAATAACAATTTTTTTTGTAAACAGTGTCAAACAAATGTTTTGAGAACATGTTATTTTATTCTACATTTAGCATGTTGATAAGCCTTTGTATGTATTCCTGTGTCAATATATGTACAGTGTGGTATATGTTTATATGCATTTATGTTGATATGCATCTATGTTGATATGCAATTGTGTTTATATGCATTCTCTGAGCAGTTGTCAATCTTGTAAACATATTCGCTTACATATGCAAATATGTATGTATACATGTATCTATGCTTGTACACATGAAACTTACATTTGTATCTATGTTTACCTTATGTCAATAAGTGTTTATATCCATTCTCTCAGTGATTTCAAACTTTGTAAACATAAATTGTTTATCAAATACGGAAAGAAATAAAATATTCTGATATATAAATGTTTATGGACTTAATTCCATATATAGTTATTCATATATGTGCGAAATTCTTTAACTGCAACTGTTCCAAAGTCAAACCTCAAATTAGCAAAAATTTATCTCTAATTTAGATTTGATTAATGGTACATTTCAAGACTTTTGTTCCAGCTTAAGTCATATTTCTTCGTATAATTTAAGTCGCTCACTAAACTGCTGTTATTTTTTATCTTTGACTTAAATTTGGGTCAGTTTCTGTTACTCTTAAAAAAAAAAAACAATTGAAAAAATAAAAAGAAGAGGAAGAAACTAAACCCGGTTTCGGTTTTCTTGTCTTACGGAAGTCATTTAACCGTCTGCTGAGCACAACAACAATAAGAAGAAGGAGAAGAAGCGATGTTCAAAAAGACTTTTTTTTTGGCATCTAGTTTGGGCCATGTTAGAAAGTGGCCCACAATTGCGGCCAAGAATGAACCTTAACTGTTTAAAAACCATTTGTTAAATCGACATGGCATTTTTTTTATGTATTTGTTTGTTTTTCTCTTTGTGTATATATTTTTTATAAGTGTTTTTTGTTTTGCCAAAAGTACTTTTCGCTAAAACTTAAAATTAAATAAAATAAAATAAATAAAAAACCTTTTGCAATTATTTTCACTATTTTTTTTTTTTGTACACATATGTTTGCACTTTAGACAGCAGCTTAAGACAGTTCTCTGCTACACTGTAAAAACCAACAAATAAATGAGTTTCGAAATTGAAGATTCTTTTAACTTTCGTTTTTTATAGTTGATGAGTTTTTTTTAATTGAATTAATTTATATTTGATTTGCTTGGCTTTCAATCCAAATTTTATGCTAATTAAATTGAGGTTTTCATGTCAAAGTTGTTTCACTTTCTGATCTCAAAGGCCTCGTAGCTGTACTCCTGAATAGACTTTAAATTCTTGATGACAAACTCCTTGATGGCTGCAACATACTCGCCAGCTGTCACAATTAGCTGCTTAAAGGCCTCGATCACTTTCCCCTCGCCCTGCAACTGCCCCTTGTAAAAGTCGTCTGCAATCCGGACAACATAGCCCCGGAGGCCCAGCAACTGAGCCTGGGTAGCGGCAAATAGCTCGAATGCCTCCTTGGGCACCGCGCCATGGATCTCGAAGTCGCAGGACACAAGATCAGGTTTTGATTTTGAAGAGGCCATTTCTTTATGCAAAATGTTTTTGGGGAGCTCCGAGAAAATATGTGAACAAATTTTGAATGCCTGCTTTGAAAATGAGAATTGAGAAGAAAAAAATATTTAGATTTAGTTATCATTGAAGTTTGAAATGAATTATGCATAGACTGTATATATATATATATAGATTGATAGATAGATTCATAGTATTTAGCTAAGTTCAACTAAATGAATTATTTATTTATTATCTAATTATTTTGTTTTGTATTTATTTATTTATTGATCTGCAGACTGTCGTTTCATCTCCCCCACTTTTTCTCACAGTGCACTTGTTTTGCGATGCTTTGTCTTTGATGAGTCAACATCTGTTTTGAAGCCACAATCAAATAAGCCTGTTGCTGCTGCTCTCAAACGCTTCGCTTTAAGTTGACCGCCATTTTTGTTTTGGCTCTCTCTCTCTCTCTCTCTCTCTCTCTCTCTCTGCCTGCTTTATCAGCAAAGAGCTTCATGCTGTGACGACAGCAGATCGTGCATAAGCCGCGAACGTATTACAGAGTAAGAGAGAGAGAGAGAGAGAGACAAAGGTAGAGAGAGATATGAAGTGCGCAATCAAGAGCCAGAAATATTTATTTTTAATATATTCAATTAGGTAAAGAAAAAAATGGGATTTTACCCACAGTTCCCGCTGCGACATTCTTGACCACTTTAATGACGTTTTTTCTAATTCACTCTCCAAACTGCCCTCGACTCGCCTAATGCCTTCATCAGCTGCAAAAAAAATAAAAATAAAGAGTGAAGTCCCATTAATATTCGAGGTCTCTTTTTTTTGTTTTTGTTGTTGTCTTTGTGCCTTTATTCCTTTATTTTTACCTGTTTCCTTTTCGCCTCCCGCTGCATTTATGATATCTTGTGCAGCGATGCGATGCAACTACACTGGCAGAAACAACTGATAGCCACAACTGGAAATTCAGATCCTTACTAAAGTCACAAAGTTTTAAGCTACTATTTAAATGAGTATAAAATTATTCTGCAAAAGTCATTAAGCTTGACTTAACTATTTTTCTCAGTGCACTTGCTTGATTAGCTAGCTTTGCCTGCCTTTTAATCGATTTCCTAATTAAACTCTCTTCGCCCCGCAGCTGTTGTCACATCCGTCTATCTAAATAAGACATAAAATGTATGACTATATATATAAAAAAAAGCCCCCCGAGAAAAAAGAAAAAAACGAGAAGGAAATGTATAAATAATAAACCTCTCTGGTTGGGTGGGCAATTAGCTGCCACGCCCACATTTTCCGCATATTTCCAGCATATTTGCCACATTGCTCACTGGCCATTTGAATGAAGGATAGCACAGCCAGCAACAACATTAGACGCGCCTAAACGTTCAAATTAGCGAACCACCAAACTCACACAAAAAACAGAAAAAAAATGGAATAAGAGAGAAATTTAATTAAAGCAACGTTAAAAAAATAGAATGCATAAATTTAAACACAGACACCCGCCTCGCCCCTTGTCCTACACCCACCTGGCTTTTTGTAATTTTGTAACCTCAAAGCAAAACAAAAAACGTGTAATTTTCACGGTCCCAAGCTGCCACTTTCCTCTCCCCCTTCTCTCCACACCCCTCTCGCTTTTATTAGCGCAGTCCCAGCATAATGATTAGGGTCAGCAGGAGGCAGCCCAAAACATGTACATATAAAAATATAAATTATTTATTTTGTAAGCCGAAGCTGGAATACTCTAAGTGCATTTTTTTCTACGAAAATAATATATATAATAATTATTATTATTCTTTTATGCTTATTTTCAATGGTTTTAATTGTACTTTGTCAAACTTTGGAACTTATTTGTGAATATATGATGCTTGTGTATTATTTAACTATTCTACAATTTGAAGTTTCTTAAAGCAACTTATTTACAATTTTAATTATACGATTGTTGACTTCAGATTTTAATGTTTACTTTTCTACGCAAGATCAGTTTTAGTACCTTGACTATCTTTATTATGTTTTAAAAGTACCTTAAACTAAGCTTAAATTTTAGAAAAGAAATAATAATTAACTTAAATTAAGTCAAGCATAATAAAACCAAGCAAACTAATGATTATATATTCATTTATATTACAACGGATTCTAGAATCCGGATATGAATATTGAGCCCGTCAGAGTATTATTCGACTTTACAGTATTTTCCCAAACTATTTGTATCTATCTTTTAATTGCTATATTAATTAATTAATAGCAGTAGGTTGACTAACTAATTTTGTTGACTCATTTGCTGTGAGTTCTGTGATAGTTGATAACTTTTATGAAGTTCCACAAAATTGTTGGGAAAATTCAACACTTTGGATAAAGAAGACTAAAAAGTTCGGTTATTAAACACTTCTGATTTTGCTGACTCACTTACTCAAAAACTACCGAGTTTCTCACAGTAGTTGAATTTTCAGTAATTCAACCAATAAGATTAATATATATATGAAAAGAGCTATTTTCTTTTGATTATCTTCAAGCTGACTTTAAAAAATCTATCCTAAATTGTCAATTTCTTAATTTCTTAAAATGTTTTTTTTTTTTAAATAAATTGCAACATTTTTATTCACAAGTTCTTACAGCGATTATATTGAATGTTGATTTTAATTTTTTCAAAACAATTTTTAAATATTCATAATAAAAATAATGTTAATAATTAATAATAGTTTAAAATAAAATTATAAATAAAGAAAACTAGATAAAGTAAGAAAAATAAATTGGGTTCAGTGTATAAAAAAAAATGTTAAAAGTTGAAGATTAAATTCACAAACTCTTAAAGCAGAGCAAATATTTAAGCAGAAGTCAAACAAGCAATTCGATGTTTCCAACAAGTTGACAATTTGTCAACCTTTCAAATTGTCAGTTGTACAATTTGCCAAGCTGATTACGTATTTATGATGATCGGCGCAAAGGGTATCTAATATGTTTCAGACTTAGCGACGGCAGCAGATTTTAGTTTTATCTCTGTCGGTTTTTTGGCAAAGATAAAAGCATTTGTCATTAGCATGAAACGCTAAAGGTTTTCCTCGACTTGCTCCGCGAATTTCACTTTCGTCTCTCCAAACAGTCCACAAATATTTGAACTTCATTAGAGGGCCAGACGACGGTGCGACCGACCGGCGACCATTCACTACTTGACTTGTGGCCTTTGACCTTTACTCCTAATGACTATTTGCTCATTATTTAAATTAAAACCCAATTTTAATGCAAGCCAATATGAAGCAGAAGAAGAAGAGCTGTGCAACAAGCATAGCAAAATATGTTTATCTTTTAAGGGAAGCATACAAAGAGTGCTGTGGTCGGCTAAGAAATACCCTGTAAAAAAGCAAACTACCTCTGTTTTTAATATAGTAAATAAATATTCGATTGATATTTATATATTTATGTGTATTTTTCTTGTCTTTGTCGATCAAATATATGTTTAAATATATTTCGAGTAGTCATGGCTAAAAATGTTTAGTCGTCGTTAAAAACCTACACAATTTTGTTTAACTAGATATACCTGCCATCTTTAATGTTTACGGATATGACATCAAATTTCATGTTAAGAAACACTTAAGAACCTATTGCGATAAGAACTCAGATAAGAAATGAAATGCCAACGAAAAAAGTGCAGTAAAATCATCAAAACCTCAATACTAAATCATGTTTCAAAAATATCGTGCAACAAGCACAAAAAGAGAAATGCAAACATTTCCGCAGGCAAACAACTGAAATTGATGAGTATCTTAAAAGAGACCAAGCCGCATTATACATATATGTGGGCAAGAACAATCAAAAGACAAATGTCATGCTTGGCTGAGTCCGTATCGGCACTTGAGGAGGGTAAACGGAGGGAGTATGGGGAAGCAAACCTACGCGCTGAAAATTGAGGTGCAGCTCCGAGATGGAAACCACCGATTAGCGGAACAAGTGGACAAAGTCATTGATGATGATGACGACCAACTGACAGATAACGGAGAGTCCCAGGAGTCGGCTTTCGACACATTCACCGCCCAGTGCTGAATGCTCAATGCCCGACCAGCCCTCGTCTTTCGCTCCTAGCTGAGAAGCACCCTCCTTCATAATTGATAACCATCTAATATAGCCTGGGAATATTTCTCAAACTTTAATTGCAGTGCAAGTAAAATTTAGTGAATGAATAGAATTCTCGAAAATCTCATTGGCTTCTTTATAAGGAAAATGCCACCAGTCTTGAAAATGAGTAAAAGGCTATATATTTATTTATTTAATAATGTGTTCAGAGCTTCGCTGCAGGCTTTTGATATACGAAAATGTAGAGTTATAATAGAAGGTATAAAGAAATGGTATGTGGATATTAGAAGTTTCCAGAGAAAGAGATTCAAGAAGAAATATGCTTGTCAAACTTAAGATTAGCATCGAATATAAGTGGATCCACAAAATAATTATTCAAAAATCACATTCGCTTTTAATATGTCATTGATTTAAAATGAAAGAGTAATTTAAATAAATTATATATTAAAATTTGAATGGCATTGATTTTGAATTCAATTGCAACTGGCTAATGGAAGCCATCTGTAAATTTATTTACTGCTTTTGTAACAAATCATTTTAGTTTTAGTTTTGCTTATGACAAGCAAAATATAGCTTTTCTTTACAATTTAGGTTTGCTTTTGTGTTGGAAAATCGTCATTATCTTTTAATTAACTTTCTAGGCCATTTGCGAAAATGACAAAAAGTTTTGCTCCATTCTAATTGCACAGCGAGTGGCGGAGTCTGTTTTGTGTTTATCTTGTGATTGCTTTTAGTTTTAGTTTTTCCCCGACAGCTTTCATGCCAAACAGAATTTTCCTTTTCATTATGCTAATTTCACTGGGGTAAATAATTACAGGACGCAAATTGAAACAGGCAGAGAGAGACAGAGAGAAATGTTTGAAAGTAATTGTCAACATGGAGTTAAATACACACTCACACACACACACAAGTAACAAGAATTTTATCCCAACTTTAAGCCAGTTTTTTGTATTTTCTCTATTGTTGTTTTTCCCAACTTCGTTTAATCGGCTTTTCT